CTGCCAAATGGGAGGAAACCACAGAGTTTTCTGTTTTCTTCTGCAGGAGAAAGCAAGGTTATTTTTGGCCCCTTTCAGTACAAATCAGTTTTTTGTGTGTGTGTTTTTCATTTGCAAAGCCCTGTGTCTGGCAGGCTTCAGGCACGAAGTGAAAATCGGAGCTCTCCTTCTGAATACCTTTGCATTTTTGCCTGGTATCAATTTTGTTTGTCTTCCCCTGCCTGACTGCCTCCCATGTCTAACTCAGGGATTGCTGACTCCTCACAAACGAGGTTCTCCAGCCAACGAAAGTAAAACCCCACTCCAGGATGGGGCACTTGGGCCGGAGAGAAAGCAAGGACCCAAAGGAAACACCCACAGTCTGAATCAGGCTGTGTATCCCCGTTTTTCACACACAGCCCCACCCTCAGTCTCCAGTTGGGAACACTTGCCATCCTGGGAGTCACACAGCTGGTAGGGCATGGCCAGAACTGAACCTGAGCAACCTTCTCTCCAGAGTCACCTCTGCCTCCTTGTGGGTTACAAATTTTGCCAGTGTCCCCTGAGGCATTGGAAGCAGAGGTTGCGAGCCCAAGCATGACAGCCAAACTGCCGAGTGGGTCAGAACCCTGACTGAGCTAGAAATTCAGCCTCCATAAACCTCAGTTTTCCTGACAGATGAAATTTGGGCATTAACGGTGCATTGCTGAGCTGATGTGAGTGTCAACGGACCTGGTCCTCATGGAGAACCGAAGGAACTGCCTGGGACTCCTGTAGTGCTGACTGTCTGAGTGTATGTCGTGTGCATCTATGAAAACCACGCCATCATTTTCAGCTGACGGCCATCCAGTTTTGTTAAAACCCTGCTTATGGCATTTGGCAAAAGCTGTAGATTCTTTTCAGTCTTTGTGTTAGAAGAGTCTTCTCTTTTTCTCCTTCTCTCCCAATGGAATCTGTCACTTAAGACATTCAGGTTAGTGTGAGAAGGTGATAGACATTGGAAGGATTTTCCTATTGAATTCCACACATCATTAGGCCCATTTTGATCCAGTACTACCCATTTGTGGGTAGTACTTGCAACTCTTTTTTCTTAAATAAAAGGTAATTCAGGTGTGTGCCTTCACACACATGCATACCCCATCCTGAGGAGCAATTACTCATAGCTCTCCTTTCTCATTTAGAAAATAAATTCATCTGCTTGCTCTATGAGAGACCCTTCCAAATGTCTAGCTCATTATTTTTTGTTTGTTTTTATTTTTTTAGATTAAATTTATTGGGGGGGGGGGGGGCATTGGTCAATAAGATCAAAAAGGTTTCAAGAGTACATTTCTGTGATAAATGACCTATGTGTTGCATTGTGTGTCCATCACCCAAAGTCAGATCCTCTTCCATCACCATATATTTGGCCCCCTTTACCCTTTTCTACCTCCCCTATCACACTTGCTAGCACTAGATGACAATTGATTTAATAGTGATTAATAAGCACCATGGAATGAATACCTGCTATGTTTTGGGAGTGTTGCTGACATTATCTCCAATCTTTACAATATCCCTGAAGTTTATATACTACACTTTTTCAGTTGAGAAAAGTAAGGCACAGGGAGTAAAGGGTCAGTCCCTCAGCCAAAGTAATGAAACAGGACTAACCATACAAGGTCTTTGATTGATCTCTTCCCATCCATCCTCCTCCGCCTTCCCTCTGAGATTCAACAGTCTGTTCCATGCTTCTATGTCTCTGGATCTATTTCATTCATTAGTTTATTTTGTTCATTAGATTCCACATGTAATAATTTTTAACTTTAAGCAACCGACTAAAGTTGACTTTTGGAGGGGAGACCGATTAAGGGGGTGTGGAGTCAGCAGGGCTCTGAGCCCTGCACTGGGACTGCATCCAAAGGCCCTGCCTCTGCCGAGCAGCTGCATGTCAGGGGGACTCTCACTGAGCACCCTCACTCAGCACCCTCTCTGAGGAAGAGACTGGCTCAGAGCTGAGCTGATTCAGGGAAGGAGATAAGAGGGAAGGGCAGGAATTTCAGAAGCACCATTGCCTCACTTTCCAGAAACTTCTCAAAGAATCAAACCCTGGCCACACACCACCTTTGCTCTCAGAAAGCCTGGACAGCCAGTCAGGGGACTTCCCTGAGATGCAGCCTGGCCCCTCCCAGGCTAGTCAGCTTCCTTAATGTGTCAGAGGTTTCTCACAGGCGCTGGGCATTCACTTTTTCTCTGGGTTTTAGGGAAGAGTGGGTAGTTCTTAGCACCTATTGAGTGAGGACTGTCAGGAGCAGGTATTGCATTGGGTCTCAGGTCTTCAGACTTGACTACACACTGGGATTCCTGTGGGGGTAGGTTGTTTGTTTTATAAACACTGATTTCTGCCCATCCCCCACCCGCCAGGTTCTGATATAACCGATCTGGGACGTGGCCTGGGCATCAGGGTTTATGAGGACCCCCTAAGCCCCATTTTGTCGACAACCCAAACATGACAGGTTAGTGAGAGCTCTGGCTGAAGAAGCAGAGGCTCAGAGAGCGAGGGACTTTCCCAGGATCACAGTCTCAGAGTCTGGAACACAAGGTCCACAGCCAGTGTTACATCATCCTGACTCAATCCATACAGCATAGCCCTACCGGGTCCGGCTGTGAGGGCAGAAAGAGGCTCAAATGAGTTTGCATTTGTTGTGGCCACAAACTCCCCCCATGTACTCCTCTCCTCTGCCTATTTGAAAGCACAGGAAGTTGTAGCCAGGGCCATGAGTAACCAGGGACCTCAGCCACAGCTATTAGGCCTGCTCAGGAATCAGGACGGCTACTGCCCGGCCAAGTTTATTTTTCTTTTCCCTGGGAGTGTGAGAGCCAGGAGGGAGGATGCCTCAGGAAGTATTGCAGACACATGTGGGCCCCTGAGGGTGTGGGGGTCACAGGCCATGGAGAAGCCAATCAGGCTTGACACATACCCCCGCTGCCCCCCCCCCCATTCCTCACCCTCCACCCCCCAGCATTTACTCAGACGTGAGGATGTTTGAATCCCTGGTCTCAGGAACAAGAATCAACTGGGGAAGAAACCAGACAGGATGCCAGGGCTGGAACCAAAGGGCGTGGTTTGTATCAAATTGTCAAAGGAAAGTAAAACGGGGGGATGGGGGGTGGGGGTGGGCAAGAGGTACAATATGGAGAATAAAGGCCTGAAAGCTCACTCCCCTTGACTTTGCATAAATCCCTCACTCCTGTGAACCTCATTTTCCCTGTCTGCATATCAGAGATGAAAAATTCTGTTCCTATCTATAAAGTAAGGATAACAGCCCCCTAGAGTGGTATAATTAAATGTGACTGTATATGCATGTATAATAACATATCATGTATGTTGTTATGTAATATACTAGAGGCCCAGTGCACAAAATTCGTGCATGGGTGGGGGGTCCCTCAGCCCAGTCTGCACCCTCTCCAATCTGGGACTCCTTGGGAAATGTCCGACTGCCAGTTTAGGCCCCATCTTCCCTAACCACTCTCTCCTGCTCTCCTGATTGCTCCTAACCACTTCTGCCTCCACCCTTGCCACTGTGGCTTTGTCTGGAAGGACGCTGGAAGACATCCAGTCTATCCGATCTAATTAGCATATTTTTCTTTTTTTTACTATAGATGTATAAACAATACCATATAATTTATATTTGCTATATGCACTGCTGCAATGGAAGGAGCATGGAGCTGAGCCTTGTACGTAACTCGCTCCTCAGAAGCCAGTGGGAGTAACTTACAAATGACAGTCCACACAGTGATTGGAGTTCTTGTAGCTTTTCAGAATGAGTTCTGCCCATACAGAGTGAGGTGTTCAGGGTAGATCCTTAGGAAGCAAAGCCCTGTGCAGGAACGAGAAAGGACAACCCTTATCCACAGTGAAAAGCATTTACTGTGAATAGGTCATGTTTGAGCAATAAAAACATACACCAAAAATCACTCTCTGGCTGTGCATATCCTTCGGTGGATGTGTATATTTTCAGGAGAAAATTCAGTTCTGGGGAAAGTACCTTTAAGAGTATGATTTAACAAGAAGAAAAGGGAAAAGGGATTTTTCATTTTATTTTATACTTCCCACGTTATTTTATACTCCTGAACCATTTGCATGTTTATAATATGTGTGTCTGTCCGTGTGTGTGTATGTGTTTCAGGAACGGAAACAAAAGGAATTTTCATTAAAACACAAAAGAGAACAAAAGCTAGATGGCCCGAGTCTGAAGCCTTGAGCTCCTTCCTCTTTGTTCTGGGCCCAGCCCGCGGCGGGCTGTTTTTCCAGCTGGGACCCATTTGGTTCTCTTCCCCTGTATCCTGGGCCAGCCCACGTCCAGGGAGGCAGACAGGAGCCTGGTCCCAGAGAGGACACCCAACCCCCCACCCCCTCCTGGGAACAGGGGCTATGGTTTCTGCTCAGGGGTGGGCAGGTTTGGGCTGAGAACCTTCTGTCTGTGAGTTTTCAGTCCTTTCCACACATACATGTGGCAGACATGATCATCCCCAGTCCATAGGTGAGAACATGGAGGAGGCTCAGAGCCGGCAATTAGGGGGATCAAGATTTAGCCCCAAGTCTCCTGATTTCTGGCGCCATGCCTGTGCCTCCACCGTAGCCCACGGGCCTCCCTGACAGCAAAGAGTGCCCCCATTTCCAGAGTAGTTCACACGCAGCACTCTCCTTTCACCTGAAAGCAGAGGTGGAGAGAGCCTGGACAGGGATGACTGACCCATTTTCCAGATGTGGAAGCTGAGGCCCCACGTCAAGGAGGCTGCATGTAAGGAGCCGCAGCCGTGGGCCTGGAGCACCAGTGTCTCCCACAGAAATCAAGGTGGTGTCAATACAACCTGCGAGGTCAGGGCGGCGGGAAATGGGGTGCACTTTGCTCCAGACTGTCTGCCCCTGGGCGGGATGCTTTCCCGGAGCCCACATTTGCAGGCAGCAAGGCAGCACATCCATCTACAAAGGCCTTCTGGGGGGAGGGGGGGGGGGAATGGAGCTGTTGCATCCATCTTGTAGGACGGTGCGCTATTTTTTGCCAGAGTGCTACAAGGCATAAATACAAAGTTCTGAACATTTTTTATGAGCCGACATCATCGCCTCCGGACACTTACTTCTTCACAAAACCATAGAAAGCCAGACAGCCCTTTCCGGAAGTTATGCATCCACCTGGATCCCAGGTAGCGCTGGGCGTCTGCAGCCACAGAGCAGCGAGGGCTCCTCTTTGCTGGGGAAACAAACGAACAGACCATGGCCAGTTGTCCTGGTGAGACCTTGGAGATAATGCAGCTGTCACCAGGGGGCCCGTTTTTGTATCTCCTGCTGCCACATCTCTTTCCTTGTGCCCCATAACCTGGTCACATTCTGGACTCAGAGCAAGCCCTGACTCATCCTGCCGTCACAGCATCCCTGTGCCCTCTGGGCTCCTGCCTGCCACAGGGCCTTTGCAGGTGCTCTTACCTCCATTCCGACCGCCCGGAGCCGACACCTACGTCAGGCTCCTGAGTTATTCGAGTTCCTAGAGCCACAGTCCTTTTCCTTGGGGCAGGTAGCTCAGTGGGTAGGGGTTGGGTGACTATTTGATCAGCGTCTGTGTTTCCCACTCTACTGTAAGTTCCGTGAGCATGACGACTGTGCTTCTCTTGGCATCCGCAGAGCCTGCAAAGATACCGGGTGCACACTCAGCTGCACGTACGCGGTTGCCAAATAGAAACAAGTGTACCAGCCACCGTCTCCGTGAACAGATGAAAAAATAAACGGCCCAACAGGCAGACAATCACCTCTCTCAGTGGTTCTCCGCCAGGGCAGGTTTGGCCCCCCAGCGGCTCTCTGGCCGGGCTTAGAGACATTTTCATCTGTCATCACCGAGGGTGTTGACACTACCAGCTAGACATCCTATGGTGCTCAGAGCAGCCTCCCCACTCCCAGCCAAGAATCATCTTCCCCACATGCCAGCAGCATCGAGGGTGAGAAACCCTGTGAAGTCATGCCCAGGGCCATGTAACAAACTGGTTGGCTACAAACAACAGAAATGTGCCCGACCAGTGTGGCCCAGTGGTTGAGCATCCACCTATGCACCAGGAGGTTAGGGTTGGATTCCCAGGCAGGGCACATGCTGGGATTGCAGGCTTGATCCCCAGGAGGGGGTGTGCAGGAGGCAGCTGATGAATGATTCTCTCTCATCATTATTGTTTCTATCTCTCACTCCCTCTCCCTTCCTTTCTTGAAATCAATAAAAATATATACTGAGTGGCCAGATGATGATGATCCCTGAGCGTGTAATAATCTGGCCACTCAGTGTATATCCTATATAATAAAAGGCTAATATGCAAATTGGCCCCTTGACCAGGAGTTCCACCAGCAGGCAGGCCGGCCAACCGCCCATGTCCCCTCCCTTGGCCAGGCTAGCCAGACTTCATCTATGCCCAAATTCATGCACCGGGCCTCTAAAATATATATATATATATATATATATATATATATATATATATATATAGAGAGAGAGAGAGAGAGAGAGAGAGAGAGAGAGAGAGAGAGAGACACCAGATTACTATGTGTTCAGAGATCATAATCATTGGCCACTCCATGCATATATTTTACAAAGTCCAAGGGACACTGCCCATACTCTAAACCACATGTGTCAAACACAAGGCCCGCGGGCCAAATCCGTCCCGCCAGGCCTTGCAATGTGGCCCGCACCGCGCTGTCATCACTGCACTCCGCTGCGTTTCCATCACAATGACAGTTTATGACTGTTCAGTAAACCATTCGGCCCGCGATTTAGGCTGGATTTTAGATTTTGGCCCCTTCTCTGATTGAGTTCGACACCCCTACTCTAAACAAAGCTGGGGTGTGCTGGTGTGCACCCCCTGGTTAGTCTCCCTCAAAGCTCCAAAGGAGGGGCTTCCCCCTGGAGCTGGAGGTGCCCTCGCCAGCTGGTGGGGTTGTTGTCTCCCACTCTGGCCCTCACCCGCAGTCTCCTGTGACCCTCTGCATCCTTGTTTTTGGTTGATTTCCCCCCTCCGCTCATCCCCTGTACTGAAAATGAAAGTGGATGGCCCCGGGCTCCTGGTACCTCATTAACCCCCACATTATCTCCGGGAAATTATGCCAATTATCGCGCCAGGGTTGGGAATGGAAAGGCCACCTCTTCTGGGCCGACGGTGATGGATGCTACCAATTTAAGGAGAGGAGGGGCAGCTCCTCGGGTGGCGGAGGGACCATTTGTTTTGCCAAGAGAAGCTGTCCCGTGGCGGGCAGAGGGCAGCTCTCTGGAGAAGGCGCTCTCCTGGCCTCTGTCTGTATGTAAGCTGCACATTTTTCCCGGGGAATTTTTTTCTAAAAAAAAAAAAAAAATAGCCTGTATTGCTTAATCTTGTTTTCTTATTATCTTAATATACAGAAGTATAGAGAAAACACAAACACGCACACACAAAAACGGCCCATAATTCCCCGACCGAGTTATTTCTGTTGACCTTTAAAACCAATCAAAATGAAAGTAATACAATATAGGTAGGCCCAGACAATCCGGAGTTCAATAAGTAACAAAGTTAAAGTGAGTATGTTCCGCGCCTCCCTGCCTCCCTTTTCCAAGCTCGGTCTCTCTGCAGCTAATAGAGTTTCCTGGCTCCTTTAGAACTTGTCAGCAGGAGGCGGGCATCATGGTTCAGAGGATAACATCTCTGTGGAAGGGAGTGACACTGAGTGGACCAACCTGAGTGGGTATTGGGATTGTGGGGAAAGCTGGCGGCATCCGGACTCCCGGGGCCCCCATCCTCAGAGAGTCTGGCTCAGCAGGTCTGGGCCGGGCCCCGCATTTGCATACTTGACCGTTTCCGGCCGCACTACCTTTTCGCTGTGTGACTTTGAACAGATTACTTAGCCTTTCTTTGCCTTATCTTCCTCTTCTGTAACATGGGGCTAATCACAGAGTTGTTGTGTGGATTCGACGAGTTAAAATATTTCAGAGTCTCTATATTAAGAAGGATGCAGTTTAGCTACTATAGTGCCTACACCAGCCTACATGTATCCAGCGGCATCTATGATTTTTAATGTTAACAGAAGAGATTATTCCATGTACAGTCCATAGTAATGGCTTTCATATGCTTACACACAGATTGAACTAGTCCTTCTGATTCTGCTCGACGTGAGCTCACAGTCTAACTGCACATTCTGGAGGATGTACCCGTCCTCCGTGGGTGACCGCCCTGGTGGTCTCCAGGCTCCATCTAATGTACATCATGCAGCTAGGAGAGTCCTTGCACATGTCACTTCCTTCTACAGAGATGCCATTCCCTGGCAGATGGCCCTCAGTCCCACTCAGAGAAAGAACTGCTGTCACATATGAGATTCCTCATCCCCCTTGCAGGTTGGGTGGCCTATAAGCTCACCCCTTAAGTATGAGTTCCATGATGATCTCACACGGGTACTAACGTGCTAATAAGAGCTAGGGGAAATAAAGTGACTGGATTAATTAGGACATTTTTGGTGCTTTCCAAAGCTAAACTCAGCGTGAGCAGGCTTAAGGAAAAATGCAGGTGGTGTATTAGAAATAGTGTGATGTTTCGTGAAATGATGGGATGGAAAATGGGACTGAACCAAGCGAGGGAAGGGCCTGGCAACCAGAGATCTGATGATGGACTCTCTCCACTTACTGTCCCTACTTCTTCAGCCTTCCTCTGCTCCCAGTTCCCAGGGGGGAATATACACCCTCCCAGATCCTGTCTTCACCTGTTAGAGGACCAGCTGGAAGCTGAGACCAGCAATCCTGCTCCTGGTCCCAGTTTCAAAGTCCTAGAAGATAGAATATGACTCGACGGATTGAGTCTATACTTGATTTAGTCATCGCTGGGTGGCGAGTAGAGTGTTAGAACAACTGATGATTATTGGGGGCTCTTTTGTGTCATGGACAGAAAATGGAAAGAGTCTACAATAGAGGGACAGATGGATAATTTTAGGGAAAGAGGAAAAGGGAAGAGGTTTAGGAAGAAGTAGTAGATTGAATGTTGCTCACTCCCCAGTCTCTATTAAGCACTGTTGAATACCCAGATATGTGCATCCCACTTCGGAGAAGTATCTATTTTCACATGAAAAGACAATTAGATCAATGGTTTTCAGACTTGGTTTATCATTTGAATGACTTGGGGAGGTTTTAAAAAATCTTAATATCCAGGTATCATCCCAAGACCAAAGAATTCAGAATCTCTGTCTATAGGATTCCAGTACTATCAAATTTTTTAAAATGTTTGCTTCAGAGAATCCCAGTCTTCAGCTAAGGTGCAAAGCCATTTGGCAGGATCGGTGATTCCCAAATGAGGATCTCTTAGGAATGAGATTCAAGGGGAGGCATGGGAGTCGTGGTGCAAACAAAGCTCCTAGGAATTGTCAGTGCTGCCGATCCATGGATTATACTTTGAGTAGCAAAGCGCTAAGTTATCTCTGAGTCCTACCCTAGTCCCAAAATTCTTAAGGAAGAGAAAATTTACTCCAAAAATGTTTATTTTCTGCTCTGAACCAGACCCTGTGCTAAAAGCTAAGGCACAGAAATCCATGAAGTGTCTGCCATAGAGGAGTTCTCATGTATTTCATCCACTGAGCTTGAGAGAGGCTAGAGAAAACACCCTGAGTATACTCCTAGTTGTGTTTGGAGATGTATTTCTAAGGGATTTTGAGTTGTTTTGTTTGTAAGAAAACATCCTTATTGAAAGGCTTGCTTACCTGATGGGAGGAATGTTAGCTCATGTCTTGGGCTAAGGCCATTGGACATAGAAAGAACTAACTTTGTAGCCATGTAGGGTAACCCATGCAAACCATGAAGCCTATGTTGGAGAAAGTAGTTTGATCCTGAGCACAAAGGACAACATATATGCTATACCTGGGAATAAGGAAATGATCTATGTGATGATTGATTGCTAGGTAGGTAGGTAGGTAGATGGTCCACGAAAGGACCTCCTTAGTGTTCAGCGCATTAAATGATTAATGAGCCCACTCTAAGAGAATGTGAACATGTTTTGGGACATATTTGGAGTCCCCAGTAATAACGGAACCAAAGTTGGTCGAGTGCTTATGGTGTAAGTCTGCTCACATTTCATTAAGCTGTGCCAGGAAGACACACGAAGTAATGATGCCTTGTTTCCATAGCACAGCATGCTCATCTAAATAATAGGGAGTGGAAAATAACTGATCTGATTTTCACCCAGCAGACATTCCCTGAATGCCTACTATGTGCCAGACACTGGATTTGATCAAAGTTTCAGCATGGTCATTTTGGAGATTACTCTTCAGCTATTATCTTTCGATGACAAGTGCAAGCTGCTTGTCTATCCATGGTTACATTTCATCCTCACCAAAGCCAGAGATGAAGGACTCAGGGTTGGTGTGGTTGATTTTGATGCTGATGGCGGTGATGATGGTGGCTGTGTGGTGGTATTGGTGTATATTTTGCTATTGTAGAATATTTTAAATACTGGGCTCCACAGTGTCACAGGATCATAGAAAGTCCCACAACTGGTAAGCAGCCAGCCTGGGGCAAGAACTCAGATGACCAAGTTCCAATCTTGCCTTGCTATTCATTCAACCACACTGCGTATCAAGAATAATAATCGGTTGCTAAAGTTTATTTTGGGCATGGCCATCCTTAATACTTGTGGACAGATGGGCTGAACATTCAGAGTCCACAGAAGACCATGCTTCCTGTGCAAGAGAGGGGTAGCTTCAACATGGCAACTCCAGAAGCCTCAGATTTTTCATTTCTAGGCTAGAACAAGATGTGGCTGTACAGGAAACGTTCCTCTCTGCCTCCCAGATCCATTTCCAGGCTGAAATGAGCTTCTAACTTTATAGCTAATGCACATTAAAAGAGAACATTGAGACGGGCACTTCACAAATGTAGTGTTAGCTTTTAGGGAGTCAGAGGATTACAACCGCCCCCAAGAAGACCCCGAACCTTTCCAATGGCTTCAGGCTCATTGGCCCTGCAGCATCCCGTGTGGTCACCCTCCAAATCCGCTCCACCCTGCAGCTGGAGTGGGTCCTTCCGATGCAAATGTGGCTGCCTCTCTGCAGGGCTGGAGTTTCTCAGTGGCTCTCCATCATCTGCAGAAGAGAGCCCTTGACATGCCATTGCTGACCACTCTTCCTCTTCCCCTTCCCTCCTCTCAGCCTTCCATGAAGTGCTTCTGCAAAAGGAAGCTGTATCTAATTGTCTAATTGCAGTCTTTCTCCTGGCCTGTAGGTGTGATGATGCTGGGCATTTGAGTATGCTGGTTTGGCTGCAAATTGTTTCTCATCCTTAAGGACTCGCCTTATCCAAAAACATTTCCTAGACCAGCCTTATCCTCGAGGAGACAGGCCACCTTCTGCATACGTCTATCAGAGTGTGCCATATCTGTGAGCTTTTTAAAGCAAACCCAGTTATATCACCACCATCATCATTGCCATCATCATCACCATCACCATCACCCCCACCAAAAAAATCGCTTAGGATCTACTAGTTTCCAGCAGTTGTTCTAATCACTTGACATGTCTTCTCATTTTTAATATCCATAACAGCTCCATTGGGATTTGAAATTAAATAAATTGAGAAATAAAAAAAAAAATCTCCCCAAATGTAATAGTGCCTGGAACATAGTAATCATAGCAACTACTCAATAATGTATAAAGCTAAATTGATGCTTGCTTATTCATTTGCTTTAAAAATGAGCTTTATTTTTAGAGCAGTTTTAGGTTCATAAAAATATGGGAAACTATAACACAGAGGTCCCATACACACCATATCCAGTTGTCCCTATTATTAACATTGTGCACTACTAGTATTATACATTTATTACAATTAGTGGACCAATATTTATACAGTATTATTAACTGAAGTTCAGAGTTTATTCTGATATCCTTAGTTTTGTGTTGTTGTTGTTTTTGTTGTTAATCCTCACCCGAAAATATTTTTCCATTGATTTTTAGGGGAAGTGAAAGAGAGAAGGAAAGATAGAAAGAAATATTGATGTGAGAGAAAGACATTGATTGTTTACCTCCTGCATGAGCCCTAACCAGGGCCCAGGCCAGGGAGGAGCCTGCAACCAAAGTACGTGCCCTTGACCAGAATCGAACCTGAGACCTGTTGTTCCCCAGGCTGATGTTTTATCCACTGAGCCAAACCAGCTAGGGTGGATTTCCTTTGTTTTTATCTATTGTCCGTTTTCTGCTCCAGGAACCCAGTCAGGACACCACCTGACATTTAGTCGTCATGTCTCCTTAGACTCCTCATGGCTGTGACAATTTATCAGACTTCTTTGTTTTTGATGATCTTGACCCTTCTGAGGAGTACCAGTCACATATTGTGTACAATGCCCATCTAGTCAGTTAATCCTGACTAGTACTAGAATAGGGTTATTGGTTCTTTATTACTTTTAGAAATTATATTGAATTTATTTGGGTGACACTGGTTAATAAAGTTATATAGATTTCAGGGGTACAATTCTATAATACATCATCTGTACACTGTGTGTTCACTACCCCAAATCAAGTATCCTTCCATCACCATTTATCCTCCTTTATTCTAATTCCCCCAGCCTCCTTTCCCTCCTATAATCATCAGAGAGTTGTCTGAGTCTATGAGGTTCTATTTCCCTTTGGTTCTTAAGAGGAAGACGGCAGTGGTAAAAGGTCATTTCTATCACCTTGTAGCAAGGGTGCCTACTATCAATGCGGTTGTTGACTGATGTTGACTTGCCCCTCGGTTGAAGTTGTGTTTGTCAGGTATCTCTGCTGTAAATTAGTAGTGTTTTCCCTTCTCACTTAGTCTTTGGAGGAAAAGCCCTGCACGGACCAAACTGAAGCATCTGGAGTTACTCATCCCCCTTCCTTAAAGGTAGAGTCCCTACATAATCCTTTGATTACTCTACCCATTGTGCCAACCTGGCTAAGGCCCTAACATCATTTTTTTTTAATACCCAGAAACTAAGGATAAAGAATAGAAGCTTCCAGGTGCTGCTCATTCTGTTTCCTCTTTATTTACACATATTTCTTTCAGAGCTTTTTCAAGCTTATTTTACACAGAATTCAAATGTCTATAATTGCTTGATGTCCAGGCCCACCGTTGGAAACAGCACGGTAGAGAGAGAGGAGTGAGTGAATGCTAGACATATTAGCATTAGGGATTTAAACCAGGAAGCCATCCCAGAGCATGGAGCTCAGGGACAAGAACCTCAGGGAGCCTCTGCTTCCTTTGATGGCACTGGTTCATTTAAATGCAGTGACATCATCTGTGCTCGAAAGATGTGTTCCAAATTATTGTTTAAAATACAAATAATGTCTTGTATACCTACTTGAAATGGTGGCGACTTTTAAATCTTTTTTTTTTCCATTCAAAATGAATTCGAGAAAATAGGTAACTATGTCAGCAGGAAAGCTTTAAATCTGAGGAAAGCAAGATTACCAGTATAATTCATTAACTCAGTAAACATTTACTGTGTATAAATTGTCCATCAGGAGCTGGGGAAAGGGAAATAAATAATATCGATCTCTGTCTTCAGGAATCTCCACATCTCATTTGAGAGCCTGTCCCTGGAGGGCTGGCTTGCTGAAGTTTTCACAGCATAAGAGGCTGATGGCTAAATCCTTTCTGCTCCACGGGTCTTCCAGGACTTGAGGTGAGAGGCGCTGAATCGTAGATTGAAGGCTTGAGAAGTGACAAGATTCATGTTAAGGAAGGGAGGGAGGACACAAAGAGGCAGGGAAGGAAGGAAGGAAGGAAGGAAGGAAGGAAGGAAGGAAGAGAGGGAGGGAGGGAGGGAGCTACTCTGCTGAATTTGGGAAGATGGAAAAAACACATTCATCCCAAAACTTCCACACTGTGGATCCATGTAAACTTAGCCAAATGCTAGATAGATACGTAAGTAGGTAGGTGGGTGGGTGGGTGGGTGGGTAGATAGATAGATAGATAGATAGATGATAGGTAGGTAGGTAGATGATAGATAGGTAGGTAGAGGATAGGTAGGTAGGTAGGTAGATAGATAGATAGATTGATAGATAGATAGATATGCTTTACAGTAGACAACCCACCCAAGTTTCCATTTCAAAGTTTCCGTTCCACTGACTCCATCAATGATTCTTGGAAAGCAAATTCATTTGCTTCCAGACTTCCTTCATCACTCTTCACACACGCAAAAGAAGGCACAGGTATCCAGTGCCTACTACGTGCCTGACGCCAGATGTATATTTAGTAAAGTCTGGCTATTTTCTGATATTTTCCATAATGGATTTCCCACACCAAGCAGGGGCATCTGTCTCCGGCTGCGGAAGTAAATTACGTGAAACTCACCTTGGTCAAATTCCAAAATGGATCTAAAGGCATCCGAGTTCCACGTGGATTCGCAATGCTGAGCTCTGAGTCACACTTAATTTCCTAAAATGGGGAAGAGAGGATTTGCTGAGTGAAGGGCTTCAGTCTGAAGAGCCACACATATGTCTTCTTGTCAGCTGTCTTCTCTTCCCCCTCTCCCCGCCCCTCCCCTGTTATTATAGTTAATGCCGGCCCAGGAAGGGAGCGTTAGGGGGCCAGGGCTGCTGGGTGGGGTGGGGATGCACTGCAGATAAGAGGCTCCTGGTGCACAGAGTGTTTTGGCTTTTGCAGACGGAAATAGAATTGCAATATACATGCCAGCTTGATCTGGGAAGCCTGACAGCCCTCCCCTGGCCCCTTGTCTTCAATCTGATGGCTGCCAGACAGATCTCTCCATCGGATCTGAGTGCTCTTTAAAGGAAGGTTCCATGCGAGGGCGGGCGGCTGGCCTTATTTCACCAGTGGAGCCTATTATCCTGCAGCAGCTGTTTATAGTTAACTGCAGCCCATACTTCCAGCCTGAACGCAGAGCCTTTTTTAGTGCCTGTGGGTCTGCGGTAAGCAGAGCGAGGCTTAACCCCGTCCTCTCCCCGTGGCTGGCGACTGCAGTGGGCATCTGGGATGGAGGGAGTTGTTAACAAGGAGGGTTAGACGGAGGATTACAAGTAGAGCAGACAGCTTTCCCCAAAGGCAGTTCATTCATATCCAGGTGTGACTGTGCGTCAGGGATGTGTTGGGCACTTTGTAGACATTATCTCAGTGTTTGAGGGCCATCAGGGTTCTGAGGATACGGTTCCACCCATTTCACAGGGGAGGAGATGGAGGCTCAAGCCATGAATGCTGGGATTCAAATCCACATGAACCAGCAGGGAGCGCTTATCTCCGGCATTAAGCTGTATTGGACCTCATGTGGACCGAGAGCACCCCCAGAGGATAGTCTGGGTGCCCCTCCCAGCGTTGGGTTAACTGATATGGAGAGAGGGTCTCCGCCCCAGAGGGCTCTCAGGTTGGCTAGAGAGATGAGTAAGTACAGATGATACACCTAGAACCGTGGTCGGCAAACAGTGGCTCGTGAGCCAAATGCGGCTCTTTGGCCCCTTGAGTGTGGCTCTTCCACAAAACACCATGGCCTGGGTGAGTCAAGTTTGAAGAAGTGGTGTTAGAAGAAGTTCAAGTTTAAAGAATGTGGCTCTCCACAGAAATTTCAATCGTTGTGCTGTTGATATTTGGCTCTGTGGACTGAGTTTGCCGACCACTGACCTAGAAGAAAGAAAAGCAGGGAAACTACAGAAACCTCTAACCCTACTAAGGTAGAGAAAGGAGATCTAGATCCAGAAGAATTTAAGGAAGAGGCAAGTTTACCTTAAAAAAACACACACACACAAAAAAAACAGGGCCATTGTGGGTCAGTGGTTGAGGTTCCACCTATGAACCAGGAGGTCATGGTTCAATTCCAGGTCAGAGCACCTCTCCTGGTTGCAGGCCCCATCTCCAGTAGTGGGTGTGCAGGAGGCAGCTAATCAGCGATTCTCTCTCATTATTGATGTTTCTCTCTCTCGCTCCCTCTGTCTTCCTCTCTGAAATCAATAAAAACATATTTAAAAACAAAACCCAGGGAACACAGCTGGGAAGAAATAATAAGACAAGGGGGGAAGAGGGCTAACTGAATCAGAATTGAGAAGTCTGGGGGGAGGGGTGTCCAATGAGAATTCCAGGAGCACACATTTGGTTTAGCCAGATGAAAGATCACCCTGGCTGGGGGTGGAGTGGGGGGTAGGGGGTCGGTGCAAGGGGGAGGGGGGGTGTTTTGGAGGGAGCAAGAGAGAGGATGTGCTAATCCAGGCTGCGATGATCCAGGAGGAGGCACTGGCCGGGGCCCCAGGAATGAGCAACTGCGGCTGCGGCCAGACATGTCTCCGGGAAGAGCAGAGACAAAGTACAAATGGTGCTCAGCTTCCTCGCCTCGCTCCAGACTAGAAAGAGGTTAACTTTTTCCAGCAGGAAGTTGGAAGGAACATTGCTCAAACCGCTAACCCGGCCCCAAATGGCATACATTCCTGAGGGTTACAGATCTAATCACTGGACATGGGGGTGGCAATGAAACCACACACACACACACACTCACACACTCACACACTCACACACTCTCACACACACACTCACACACACACATACACACACACACACACACTCACACACTCACACACACACTCACACACACACTCACACTCACACACACTCACACACACACACACATACACACACTCACACACACACACACACACACACACACACTCACACACTCACACACACACTCACACACACACTCACACTCACACACACTCACACACACACACACATACACACACTCACACACACACACACACACACACACACACACGCCAGCGCACTCATTTTCTCAGCACGCCTGGGACTTCTGTTCTCCCTTTGTTTGACTCCAGCCTCTTTCCTCCTGAGGACAAAGAAAACCCGAGGTTTTGAAATCCACTGTTAAGCATGAAGAGAGGCGGAGCCCTGGGCTCGTGGGGGGAACGTTGGCTGCCTGGGAACATGATTCTGGGCCTTGGTACCCGACCATCCGCAGTGGGGGAGAGAGGGGCTTGCCAAAGGGCCCTGTGGGACTGGGCTCAACTAGAAGAATGTGCAAAGTTCCGTAAGAAAAGACAGCCCCCGCCCCCCCATGGAGCCCTGGGAGAGGGGCTTTCACAAAGAAAAATGCTTATTTCCAATCAGGGTTCTCTGCAACAAAGGCTCCTGACCTCTGGCAGAAGGAATTCCTGGACTCAGGCCTTTTGGTGAAGCTGGTAGTGATCTGAGCTTAATTACCTCTCCCCAGGCTCCTGCCTCAGCCAGCCCTTGGGGGAGGGAGGGCCTCGGAGGTCAGGGGCGGAGGTTTTGCCCTTTTAATTCCCATGTTCAACAAAGTGAAAGCCTCATAACTGCAAAGCTAAAAGCGCCCTTCCTCCTGCTGCTCTAAATTCCTAATCTTTTCGCCGCTGCGGGAGTGGCAGGTCAGACACCAGCAGGGAGAAGGCATGGCCACCTGGGGAGCTCTGTGGATCAGCAGTGGTCCAGGAGCCAGGGGTGCACCCCGTGCTGAGGGTAGCCCAGGAGACCTGACTGTCACTCAGCAGGAAGACCCACCCTGGTTATGGAGACTGGGCTGCTACTGCCTTTTTGCTTCCACTGCCAAGCAGGCTCAGGCCACTTCCAGCTGCCAGGCAAGGCCCCATTGGTTCATTGTTTCCTATCAGAGCAATGCAAACCTTTCCTGAAAAGAGGGCATGTTAGTGAGCCAGGGTTCTTCCAAAAAGTGTGTGTGTGTGATGAGTGCGTGTGTGTGATGAGTGCGTGTGTGTGTGTGTGTGTGTGTATGAGAGAGAAAGAGAGAGAGAGAGATTTATTTTGAAGAGTTGGCTCATGTCTCATGAGATTATAGGGGCTGGCATGTCTGAAAGTTATAGATCAGGTTAGCCGGCTGGAGATTCAGGTCAGAGTGGATGGTGAGGTCTTAAGTACGAATCCCGAAGGGTAGCATGCCCAAACCTCAGGCATGGTTTCTTTTTCTTTCTCTTTGTCCGTCCAATCTTTCTTTTCTACGTGGCAATAGATAGATTTTATTCCATAATCATTTTTAAATCTTAGTTTTCAATTGCAGTTTATATTCAATGTTATTTGGTATTAGTTTCAGGTTTATAGCATAGTGGTTAGGCAAAGCATATACTTTACAAAGTGCCCTCGCCCCGATATTTCAAGGACCCACCAGATACCATACATAATTATAATCTTATTGACCGTATTCCTTATGCTGTACTTTATATCCTGAAACAATTTTTTTTTTTTAACCAATTTGTAGTTCTTAATCCCTTCCCCCAATTCAAAAGAATAAATGCATCCCTGTGTTCATTGTTGCATTATTTGCTATAGCCAAGATTTGGAAGCAGCCCAAGTGTCCATGGTCTCAGCCCTGATGAGTTTACACTTGTTCGAAGATAAACTGAGACATATTCAAATTTGTGAGAGTTTATTTGAGCAAAAATCAATTAGAATTGGGCAGCACCAAATCAGAATTGCATAGGAGTGCTCCTCCCATAGAAGCCAGGGGAAAGACTTATAGAAAGTCTTTGCAGAAGCAAAGAAAGGAAATCATGTTATCAGCTAGAGCTTATAGTCTAGTTGGCTGTTGGTGATTGATTTTCCTTGGTGCTTTGAACCTGTAACATTGTGGCATTTGCAGGCTTAGAGTTTGGTGTGCTTACCTAGCCAGTCATGGATTAGAGCCACATTGGTCTAATGGCCCCTTCATTGAATTAACGTAACACACTAGACTGGGGGAGGCAGGCCTTAAGCAAGGATGTTGAGTGTAATGAAAGTTAGCAGCAAGGAATTAAAAAGTATGATGGGAGCATAAATCATAGAATTGAATTCATTTGTGTCAGGATAGGCCAACTTAAGAACAGAATGCTTAAGATGAGAATTAAAGGAATGGGGTGGAGCTAGCCAAGTGAGCAGAGTTGCATTGGGGGTGCTTTACAGGCAGGAGGAAGATGGGTGAAGGAGACTCAACCATGAGGAAGAACACGCTGTATTCCCCAAAAATGAGAGAATGAGGGAATGAGTTCTCCCAACACAAGAGACCGAAAATGTTGTGCCCCTTCATCTTCAGTCCTACTGTTCCCTTGGCTGGGAATGCAATTCCCCTTTAAAATCTAGTGCATACTTGGTTCAATAGTTATCTGCCCTGAAATTTGCTCACCTCTCCCTGATGGAATTACTTCTTCCCCCACAACTCTTGGTACAAATGTCTACCATGGTGCTCATCTATGTGCAATTCCACTCTATCGCTGTGCCCACCTTTGCATACTGATAGTCTCAGAACACCTTATTCCCTGGACTTACCAGATGGCCATTGCTGAGAAGAACTCAATGTTTTTCCCCAAAATAAACTGAATTCAGTTGATTTAACAACTTATCAGCAGAGAGAATACACCCACTAAGTGTCTAGCCGCAATCCCACCTAATACTGATATACTTTCTTCAGTATTTCTAACTGGCAGCAAGACTTCCCAGCTAACTATTGTCCTCCAGACAGCCCCAGAGGGCAATGAATGTCAGCATCTGTGT